CTGACTCTGCTGTGTACTACTGTGCTCTGCAGCCCACAGTGACAGGAAACAGCAAAACTCTGTACAAAAACCTTTGGAGCAAAGACAACAGAATACTCCACAACATCCACTAGAGGGAGCCACACACTGTTACACCTCTGATTCTTGTGTCATTGGACTGATGACAAATCTTCATCTTTCTCTCCAACAGAAATCAACCTGTCACTGATCAATAACAACATGATAAATGATTGATCACTGATCCCACAGAGGTGGTTGTAGGTAAAGTACAGACATCCAGGACTTTTTCCATCAACTTCTTTACTCCAAAAGGAAAAAGTGCAGAGTTAACTGAACCTTGTGCTACATTAATGTAAATGAATGCTATCAGCACACAGGAACACAAACTTTATTTCAGTGTAAATCTGAATTATATTAAAATCACTTCATTAGACTGAATCAGTGAAGTCGAACACGAGCAGAGAAAAAGAGGGAAAATGAAGACATTTCTGTTTTCTGTTGGCTCCATTAGAGAGTGACTGTGCCTCTAACAGGAACATGAGCAGAGAACAGGTTAAAGTGGATTCAGCAGGTGGGAACCCTAAAATCAGCTGTAGTGGCTCAGTGTGGGGAAAAGAATCAAACTCACAATCATTTCTGCTGAGAGCTCCAGTAGATTTGATTCAAGTACAGGCTGTGATCAGCTGATCTGAGCTTCACTGCTCTTTGTAATGTGAATTCAACCAGATGTGAGCAGGTGTTTGCGAGGATTCTGTCCGTGTGCTCCAGCTTCCTCCCACAGTCCAAAGACGTGCGCTTAGTGGGGTTAGGTTAGCTGGTGATTCTAAATTGCCCATAAGTGTGAATGGTTGTGTGTCTCTCTGTGTTACCCTGCCATAGACCAGTGACCTGTCCAGGCTGTGCCCCGCCTCTCGTCCTACAGTAGCTGGGATGGCTCCGCCCCCCTAAATCGGATCAGTGGAAGAGAATGGATGGATGGACGTAAGCAGATGTTTCTGGGCTGATTTGCATCCTCTACACTGACAGTACACTGATTCTGGTGTCTTTATTCTGCACTACACAGTTGGTGTGAAGGTGGAAATCAGTGAATGGATCTCAGCATCATCGGCTACAATTCATCTGAACTTCACATCGTTTACACACTTAAAGGGAGTCACATGCTAGCTTTACATTTTCAGTTCATCAGATAACTCTAACATACTCTGGTGATTAATCCATGAATGGGGCTGCCTTACATGTGTTACTGTTTAGCCTCAACCTTCCCTAAAGCTGCTTTGTGGAACAGACAGAGTGGAGTCAGGTTGGGGAGCATCCTCCAGCTCATGGAAGCTGGACGAAAAGACCAAACTGTTGATGAAATGACTTCACCTGCGTTTGTTAACACTGCTAGTTCATCAGTTTTCCCCTTTGACTCTCTGGAGACACTGCTGACCTTTGACCTTTTGTACTTATTATTATTCTTTTGATTCCTATCATAACTATTATTATGTGCTGACCTGTTGTAGGATTCAGGCCATCGCTCTCCACACCTCTGGTTCTCCAGTGTATGTAGTTACAGATCTCATCACTCTCGTACTCCTCCCTTGCTGCTGACCTCACCTTCCAGACATTGTTGGAATGAGTAGGACAGATGTGGAGTCCGGCTCGAGGTACCAAGCTGTTGGAACAACTCTTCAACAAATGGAGAAACACAAGAGATGTGACTTTAAAGCTTTTAGTGACTTCAAGTGAGCCACCATAACTTTGTGCGAGCGCTCTCTGGGGACGGCTCAGCGAGCTTCTTTTCTACAGACAAAGAGGATTTGTGTAGCATGTTGCATATCACCCTGGGACAGATGTGTAGGAGGACTTTCTCAGGAGTTGTATCTCCTGGGAACTTGCTGTGCTTTCGGTTACATGTGATAAGAGCCACGACATACAATTCTGACTTCTCACAATATTTCATGTGTTAAACAAAGATTTTGTATCATATCTAGTAAGTTTTTCTAACACCTGCTTTAACAGTCACTGTGTTCTGGTCACATCTTCCTCATAAACGAACACAAGTGGAGGAAACTCTCTCATCTACCACATACTCTCTCATGGCACCTTCAGCTATCACAGCCATGTCCAAAACATAATAGGATACGTTCAGTGCTCCCAGTGTTAATAACAGTGTAGGAACAGATTTATCTCTAAATCTCAGTGAATTATTATTTTTATTAGTTGTTCAAATACTCTCCTCCCAAAACGTTTCAGTCTGAAAGAAACACACATGCAACAAGGACAGCTGTAAAAACAACCAGCAGATGTTTCGCTGTTCATAAAGACTCTAAACAGGTTTCTCTCTGGCTCCACCCACTGATGCTGAACTCAGCCAATGAGATGGTCTCTCTAGAGAATAGTTCATGTGTGTAAGGCAAAAGAGAAGATAAGGCTTCAATGGCGGCACCATCTTGATATTCAATAATCAGGTTTTTATAAAACTCTGATTCAGCATCAGTTACTGAAACAAGCCTAAAAGAACCAAATTTCTTCAGAAAGTCTATAATCTCCTCATCTTCTGGCGATTCAAGCAACCCACTTACAATCACTGCATTAGGGACTTTGATACCTGAGTTAGCTATGAACTCCATCTTTGGCAATGACAAACAACTTTTAAACAACTTTTTTTTTTTTTTTTTTTTTTTTTTTTTTTTTTTTCTTTTTTTTTAGAATCCTGTCCTTGTATGTTTCACTGCTGACACTTAACTAGGCTCCTGGCTGGCTCGCCACTTTTGTAACAGGTATTACAATTAAACAACATGAGATATGCATTAAATTATTGTCTCGACGACTTTGGACCAGTATCAGAAAGTTCTAGGTAAGACTATGGAGCCTTGAAAGGATCAGCAGAGAAGGAACCACACAATGATAGATAAGATGTGATTTGAATAGAAACTGTATTGAAAGTTGTAAAGTTTACAAACCCTGCCTGTCTAAAGCCGGCTTCCTACAGTGCACAAACGCACATTAAAGGGCCCAAAAATAAAATCAAAACAACATCCTCTTTAAGGAAATTCTCCAAAGAGTTTCAATTAAAGAGCTTCCGCTCCCGTTGCTCAGTCCACTTCTCTTTAGAAAGAGAAATTAGAGTTCCTTGTGTGTGTGTGTGTTTCTGTCCATTGGTTCGAACACTACCCGGGTAGATTTTTAAAGTGTTAGTCTTATCTGTATCAAGGAAGGTAGTAATAGTCCTGAGGTTCGCTGAAGATGGATCCCACGGCTGGCCACACCGCACTCGGGTCCGTCGACAGTCACTCTCTTGGGATTGGCTCGCCACTGAACCCACAGAGATCTCAAATAGTGATGGGACGTTCTGTATCGAGGCTTCGGAGCGTGTGTCGAGTAATGGAGGGGCGTTTCCGCGAAGCGCGTATCGAGGCTTGCTTCATTTATGGGAGGAGCTGAAAATGATGACGTCCGAAGCCTCGCTGCCCGGCTGTACCACGTGACTGGTTCATGAAGTGGTTCGAACTTTGCCGCGAGATATGACAGCGATATAAACCCCTCAGACTTCATTCAAAAATGTGGGTGTTTGATGGAGAGTTGCGGTTAGTGAGAGTTTGGAGACCGTTTGGAGGTTTATGAGAGTGAGGAGAGAAAGTCAGGAGAGAATGGAGCCAGCTAAGAAGAGGAGGATGTCCTCCCCTGTGTGGGAACATTTTGATCTTATTCCTCCCAACAAGGTATGTAAATTTCTACAGAAGATGTATTTTCATAATACTGATGGTGCAATACAATTTATGTTAAGCTGTCTTGACTTTTGTACAAGGTGAAGTGTTTGCTATGTGCCAGGGAGCTGGGATATAACAACAACACCTCATCCATGCTTAGGCACTACAGAGCTTTGCATGAGAATAAGGGGAACACCGATTGTGGAGCAAGACCAGGTGAGCCATCAAATGCAATGATAATATAGCATGCAGTAATGTTACTAAATGATATAACAATATTATACAACTGTTATAAGTTACGTGTGTGATATTTATATTTGTGCTTTATCTTTATTGTCTTTCCTCAGGAGAACAATCTCAAATAGATGAAGACCTGGTCAGCATGGTGATTGAGGACTCCCAGCCATTTAGCATTGTGGAGGACAAAGGATTCAAAAGATTTGTTAAATCATTAAATCCTAGCTATGTTCTCCCCACTAAAAAGGTCATAAAAGCAGTGAAAATTTAGTTTTTACAGAATAAAATGTGAACAGGCAGGACTGAGGCTCAAAGCCTCAGTGTGTAGCTGTCCATACCTCAACGTTACAAAAGCACAACTACTGTCCACACCCCAACCACACCTCACCTCACAGTAAATGATCATTTCCATTTCAAGCATTTCCAAATAATCATTTCCCATACTGCCACTATAAATATACACAGTATACTGCCATCACTACAATATACATGTTTTACACACTCCTTTTGTTGTTGACATTTACAGGCTGTGTGCAAAATGCCACACTCTTCAAATTCATGCCAGCTATTATTTTTACGTCCAGTAGGTGTCCTGCTAGAGCAAATGAAGCTTCATGAAGCTTCGCGTTGGGGTGAACCAATTGGATGAAAAGCTTCAGTGCTTCATGGGGCTTCATCTGCCCATCACTACAAATGATCCAGTCCTGGTCAAAAAACCAATCGGAGCTCGTGGTGAGATAGCTCGTCCAGCTGACGCAGCTTCGGCCGTATTTCACAGATCTCAGATCCAGGATCTTTCAGCTAATTTGGCGGTTGCCTCGTGAGTAACGGCTTCCACAACAGGAAATGTTGACTAACAGAAAGTCATCTCAAGGCATACTCGCCTCCTAGCGGCGGGGAGGGAAAATTACACCTCCAACCTTATGCAGCAGCACAACCCACAAATCTGATGTGGACATACAGTTTCTCCTCTGTGTTCTGATTGGACATTTAAAGCAGCGCCATCATTGATGGTATCAGATCCATTTCACACGTTGTTGAAGTTCAGTCTGAAGTCACTTTAAGTCTCAAAGCTTCACTTTAACCTGCAAAGACCAACAATGTCTCATTTCCTACTGATTCTTCTCCCCACACTGCACCACTACACCGGATATCAGGACTCCACACTCTCCAAACTCCCAGTGTTAAAATTCAGTCATGAAACATTTTGGCAGATACAAGAAGATTCTTCTACTGTTTTCTCTTCTTCAGTTTTTAAAGATGAACATCATGATCCACACTGACACACATTCATATTCTTTGGTTCCCTGGATTAAAACGGAGCCTCTGCTCTTTATTTATCCTGTGCTTGTTTCTCGACTCACAGTTCAGTCTGTTAAACCTGCTTCCTGCAATAGGAGCAAATATCCACTGAAAGCAGCAGAAAGACGTGCTGAGTGTGAAGCTGTCAGCAGGGGGAATAACACAGGGCTGTGAATGAGTCCTGTCACTGTGATCAGGCTCCTCCTTCTAATCCACCAACTTAGTGTTGATGAAGACTAAACAGAGAGATCACAGCTTCTTTATACTTGCTGTAGCTCACAGTTACTCTACACTGCAGATATGACGCCTCTGTTCATCTCAGTGCTGCTGGCTGCTATGTGCCTCGGTATGAACACAACTCTGTTTCTTTGATATCAACATTGACGTGATTCTTTAACAGCACACTGATACTGTTTGTTGGTGTTTTACAGAATGCAGAGCACAAAAAGACAACGTGCTGCAAGCAAAAGGAGAAGAGACTGCTGCTGCAGGAGGCACAGTGACACTTCACTGTCTCTATAACGGCAGTGCAACAACTAATTATCTCTTCTGGTACAAACAGGATGGAAACAACAGCCCCGAATTCATCCTGATGCGCTATAGTGGGGATCAAGGAAACACAGCAGACGAGTTCAAGGAGAGATTTTCATCCACACTGGATTCCAGCATCAGATCAGTTCCTCTGAAGATCCAGAAGCTTCAGCTGTCTGACTCTGCTGTGTACTACTGTGCTCTGCGGCCCACAGTGACAGGAAACAGCAAAACTCTGTACAAAAACCTTTGGAGCAAAGACAACAGAATACTCCACAACATCCACTAGAGGGAGCCACACACTGTTAAACTGTCACCTGTAGGTCTGAATTCTCTGTTCTTATGATTAAACAAAGTCTTATCTATAACTCCTTATGTTACATCTTATTACTGTGCTGTTGTTTGATGTTTCCTGTGTTTCTTACATTATGTATAATATGAAGAATTGTTTTATGAAAGTTTGATATTATAGATATTATTTTGCTGTGTCTCTGGACCCTCTGAAAAACACTTTTACACTACAAAGGTGTCGACGCCTCTCATGTAATTGCTGTGTTTTCTGGGACTGTGCTGATGTGTCTTCCATGATTAAACACAGCTGCAGTCATCAGAGCCGTGCACTACTTTGTGTTAGAGAACTTCAGGGTTGTCCCGGGTTTCTGTGCTACGAAGGTGGTTCACTTCTCACCAGGACAAATCACCAAAGAAACTTATGCTGTGAACTAACCTGCCACACAAAAGGTTCAGTTCCACATTAGAGATCAACAGGTGTGACATCACCACCCACCGACCAATCAATTCTCCAGGAAACAGGTCATCATTCCTGGCAGATCCTTCGGACCTCCGTGCAACAGTAGGAAGGTCAAAAGTTTTTTCTTTAATATAGAGTAATGTCCTTCAGTTTCCCTGGTGAGCATCAGTAAGAAGTAATAAATAATCCAGATTTTTATTTAGTGATTTTTTCCTTTGGTAAGAAACAAACTTACAATAAATGTGTTGCTTTATTGGCATTAATGTCTGATGCTAGAACAGGAAACCTGCTCTGTACTTGCTGCCTTCATATCAAATCTGCAGTAAAGTTTTATTCTATTTTTATATTGAATCTTTCCTCTGAAACTGCAGCTGGTCTGCATGTGAGAGAATCAAAGCTCAGCAGCTGGTTATGCTCTGAGTTCTGAGCTTTTCCACTGATTCTTTTATTGAAAGCATCAAACAGATTCTCTGCTGGGGGAATCTGTTCTATGAGTGCGAGCTGTAAATGACAACATCTTGTTATACTTCAGTCTAATCTGCTGTTGCTGAGTCTGTTTCCCTCTCCTGGAAACACACATGAAGATCACCTGTTCTATTGATCACATTCATTTCACTTTGATTTGAGATAAACTGAAGAGATTTCCAGACTGTTCTGTCAGTCAGCTTTAATCTTTAAATGGATCCAGTTTGCAGTTGCACAGCTGTAATGTGCAGCTGTGACCTTAGAAACAGAGCAGTGAGAGCGCACTCACAGATGAAATTATTAACTAGGATTCAAATGTTTACTGTGTGTTAAATCAGCAGATTCACTGAAACGTTTCCTGCAGGATTCATTTCTTGCCTTTTTAACATCAGTCTTGCAGTTGCTGGTGTAGTTTTATGTTCTTTATAGGTGTTTGATCACCATTCAATAACATCTCTGGATTAGGTGACACTCATAGGGATCATTTTCAATGTAAGAGTCATGTGATCCATGAACCGCCCCTTCCAGATTGGTCAGATGCTGCCATCATCATGCAGGGTAAACCCTGGTTTAACTTCATGAGTTTATAACAAGCTTCATGTGATGATTTATCCTGATCAGCAGTGTTAAAGTAAGATAATGGAAAGATGTCCAGGGTGTGCTGAATGAGGTTTGGAGTACAGCGCCCTCTTCAGCTCGCTTTGCATTGATGAGCATGAGCAGAGGGAGACCTTGGGGCTGAAGCTTTCTGCTGATTGCTGTTTTTTGTTGCAGTTTTTCTTGGTTTTATGCAGTTTGTGTGTTTGTTGATAATGTTTTCATGCACTGACGTGTGTCATTAGCTGTGCAGTGACTGAATAAAGCAGAACTAACAGTCACAGAAGTGCATCTGATTTCTTTGTGTGCTTCATCAGTTTCTCTCATGCTTAGTGTGCCGCAGCTATTTTTGGTCACTAGTTAGCAGCATCAAAGGTTTTTTCCACTTATAAGTTTTTAAGCACATTTAGTAAAAGCCTGCTGCTGTTTGGACACATAAGACTAGGATGTAAGAAGTCAGGGACTGTGTGAGGAAGCTTTATCATGTGCTTTCCTTTACAGTTCATGCTGTAGGCTAACTAAGGGGCTATTTTTAAAGGCTTTGATTTCATGCAGTTCTCAAAATTGTGGGGAGAAATATTTTTTAAACACATCTGCATTTGCAGACAATGACCTGAAGATGGAAAAGTTAGAAATGACAGTTTGTCTGTTTTGCTTTTAAGAGACAAAATCTGTTCAGGTAGTTAATCCCACATAAGAAATGCCAAAACGTGTGAACCACTGAGAGTCGTCCAGCATTGTTATCAAAGCTGAGAACTTTCACCTGCTGCTCAAACATGTTTCAGTCTGAGTGTGTGTGCAGGATGCAGCCGGAGCTCTGCAGGCTCCTCCCTCAGTCTGACCTTCTTGATGATGATGATGATGATGATGATGATGACTGCAGCATCACTGTCAAAGCTTCATCAGCCTGAATGGAAACAGAGCTCAGCAAGAGGAGGAGCTACAGCAGTGAACATGAAAGGCTTCATGTAGGAGCTGAAGAGCTGCTGTGTTCTCTCTATTGTTCATTCAGTCCAAGAGGAAATCATGTTGCTGCTTTTCATTTGGATGATGATAGTCTCCTTTCAGACTGGTGAGTCATCAAAAGATGGAGTGAGATGTAAAAGGAGATGATGGACATGAAAATATCTGGATGTTGTTTGAATTGATTCACTTTTTATAAACTAAGTTTAAAGATGCAGAAACATGATGGTGAAATATGTCTTTGTTGTTTTCAGGATCCTCTGAGGATTTACTGACACCATCTAAAGATGTAGTGATGAGTTTGGAAGGAGGCACTGTGACTCTCTCCTGCAACTATTCAGGCTCTGACACTTACTTCTTCTGGTACAAACAGAAACCTAATTCACATCCAGAGTTTCTCATCGCCTACTATTCAGAGAAAACAGAAAGGATGAAGTTTATACATGACAAAGAAAAACAAGAGTTTCATCTGGAGATCTCCTCTGCTGCAGTGTCTGACTCTGCTGTGTACTACTGTGCTCTGCAGCCCACAGTGACAGGAAACAGCAAAACTCTGTACAAAAACCTTTGGAGCAAAGACAACAGAATACTCCACAACATCCACTAGAGGGAGCCACACACTGTTAAACCTCTGATTCTTGTGTCATTGGACTGATGACAAAGACAACAGAGAAATGAAGCAGTAAAGATCAGAGACAGAGACAGAGCTGCTGTGGAAGCACAAAACTGTTTGATTGGCTGAGCTATTAAACTGGCCCCGCCCACTGAAGTTGAGCTCATCCAATGACATTATTTGTTGGTCATTGTGCTGCAGTGGAAGAACATTGTTCATGTGCTGTCTGTCTGGCTTTAATAACTCCAAAGACATGTTGCTGCACCTCTTTTTGCTTCTATCTCACATTATAGGTGAGTTTAAGAACAGGGATTAAAGTTTAGTTGAAGCTGCTGCATTAAGCAGATATACAGACTGCATTTCACTACTTTTCTTCTTTCTTTTTCCAGGACTAACAGCTGGAGACTCAATCACTCCTCAACAACCTGAAGTCACTGAAACAGAAGGAGAATCTGTCACACTCACATGTAGCTATGAGACGAGTACAGTGATATTTACCTTCACTGGTACAGACATGATTCTGACCTTCAGGCTCCTCAGTTTATACTCTGGAAAGGAGCAAAGATACAACAGTGGTGTCAATATATTCCAAATACGATATGGATCAGAAACATCTACCTACATCAACTAATCTGACCATAGCAGCCCTAACCCTGGCAGACACAGCTCTCTACTACTGTGCTCTAGAAACACAGTGATACAAAGTGTAGAA